TGGGACATGGCTTGTCCCTCTGAGATATCTAAGTGCATTTGCTCTCAGACCACAGTCAGAAACTGTGGTGTTGTGCACCAGATTCAAGCCCTCAACCATCCCTGAAGTTTCACCTGATGTGCACCACCAGGGAGAAATTACTGTTTCATGGACAGCAGAGAAATCTATGGGGTCCAGATTCCCTCTGATTTCCAAGTTCAAATTAAAACTTGTATATTTTGATTTCCAATATATGCATCCACACAGAAAAGCATCCTGCAGATCCCTCTGAATGTCACCAGTGTCCAAGACCAGAACTGCTACACTAAGAAATGTGGGTGAATGACATCAGTAGGTTCGTAGCACATGAAGGGTGCTGTTGCTGGTGGAAGCCTGAACAGCCGGAGCCCCCGGGCCGGGCTGGGGGCAGTGGCAGGGCTGAGGGCGCAGGGACAGCTCGTTGTGTGGCTCTGCACTGACACCTGCTGCCCGAGCGGGGTGAAGTTCCCGCAGGCAGCTCCCCGAGCTGCCTCCCCTCAGGCGTGACACAACTATTTCTGAAATGACTCTCTGACCTGCATCGTGTTTGCTGAACATCGGTTCTCACTGAAAAATGCTGTCAGAGCACACAAACAGGATTAGGCTTTGCTGAAACTAAAGGAAAAAGTTTTGTTACAGCATCATACCTACTGGGCACCAGCCACAGCTGCTCAGGGCTCAAGTCCAGTCCTGGGCAGATCCTCCCTTAACAGAGCTGTTGCAGCTCTTTGCTCCTCAGCCATGACTGTTTTACACACAGGTCCTCTCTCACTGCAATTGCATGACTTCCAATGTAGACAGCTGCAGGCATCCAAAGGGATTTTGGTGGGGAGGGTGCGGGTGGTCTATGCTCAGACCTGCACTCTGAAAAATCCTTCACTCAACTGTCATAAAAACCTAGAGGTGGCTGAACTGAAAAATGCTCTGATCCATTTTTTCCCCCCCAAAGCTGTTAATGTGCATTAACCCCTCAGGAACAGGATTTACCTACCAATAACAACCCTAAGTCATGTTCCTGCCCGTGTTGGGGGGATTGGAACTAGATGATCTTTAAGGCCCCATTCAACCCAAACCATTCTATGATTCTATGCCTGTATTTCTGGAAACAAAGCACTACACACCTTTGCTTTTCTTCAAGGCTTTCAGTTGCTAGGAGGTCTCAGAAAGTGCCTCACACTGTCCAAGGATGTGAGGGCAATATTCACTGGCTTATTTTAAATTCCATAAGAAACTTCTCACGTAACATTGGTACCTCCCAAAGATGTGCAAGCCTTAAAGTTCTCCCTGTAGTCTTCAGAAAGTAATGAACTGTATACTGCCTTTCAGAATAGACACACCTGCCACTGCTCTGCACATCAGAAAGAGCCAAGGTGTCCCTCTCTCAGCCCTCCCCTTGCCTGCGGTGGGGAGTGCTTGCCAATGAAGTCAAATTTAGGCACTTGTTTTGTTCCTGTGCCTGCAACTGCCTAATGCCTGTAAGAACTTTGTGACAGTCATACCATGTACTGCTCATAGATTCAACTGCCTCAGCTACAAGACAAGTACTGTACAGAAAGAAATACAAAACATACTGGGATAGCAATACACTGCTCAGGATGCATACTTAGGGATATAACAGACTTTAGCCTTTTTGACTTGGCCTAGTTTTGTATTTGATGCATGTTTCCAAGAGAGCAAGAATCAGAGCTCATTGCTCCCTGTACTTCTTGGCAGCAGAATAAATCTCTTTCATATTTTCTTGCCTCCACACTCCTATAAGGGAGCTGTAAAAAAGGGTCTCACCTAATTTAGAAGATAGGACACTATCTAAGCTTCTGATAGTTTAGAAGACTGAGCACTGTCCTGGAACAAGGAAGGTAGACCACTTTCAAACTGAGTAAGATGTTATCTCTTCCATTTCCTGAGAGAGTACTTTACATTCTCAGGAAAGGAGGAAGGACAAATGGGATGACTGGGTGGCCCACACTATTGCACTATTTCCTTCTCTACCTTTACTCAAGCATTAAGAGAAATACACCCTGTGCTTGCCAGTGTGCTTTTCAGGGTAGACATCACTCAGGAGTCTATCTGACTGCTTTTTGAACACTTAGGTTCATCCCCTTTCCCACAAACATCACCTGTAAGTTCATGTCTACAGGAGCATCAGGACTATGTAAAAGAAAGAGTTCAAGCAGCACAGCTTCAGAGGCTGTTAGGTACAAAGCTAGTCTCAGCTACAGGCCATTGAACATAGAGTGCAAGCAAGAGACAGTTTACCTCGAAACCTAAATTCTCTTTCGTGATGACTCTTGTGCAAGGAGCCACTCTTCCTGACTAGAGAGCTGTGGTCCACTCTTGTTAAGCCCTGTCTGTCCAGTCTGCTGCACTTTGCTATCACAGGGAGAGCTCTGCAGGGAGGAGAGAAAGCAGCAAAGCAGGACATGGCTCCATGTAACATTGCTTTACTTTTGGGAACTGGGAACTGCTGGTTGTGCAGCTCAGTGCATTGACGTTTTCAAGGAGAAAGGATTGGATGAATTGGGAATTTTAAAATAAAAGGAAATCACAGCACGTCTTAAACAAACAAACAAAGAAAAATATATATTGTTCACATCTCCAGGAATAATTTATAACAAACAGGATGTTGTGCGTTATTTCATTACCTGTTGCTTTAAATGTGGATGGATTCTTAAAGATGAAATTGTTAACATATAAAAAAATCAGGAAAAAAATTGGATCATCTGGACTTCTCTGAAGCAGGTAAAGTAAACCACTTTTTATTTCAAGAAATATTGCTTCTAGACTTTCCCGAAGCCAGAATTGTACTATAAAAGTATCACAGAAATATTATACAAGATTTAAAAACACAGTTTGTATCCTAGTAACTTAAAACCTATGTACAAATAGCATCATTCATGACCATAAATACGTTTTTCTATCAATCAGCCCATGACACATACATCAGATAAAGAGCTAGTAATTTTAACATATTTACAGAGTCCATCAAAAAGACTGCTTCTTAAAATTATTAAAATCCTACTAAAAGAATCTCCTTTTTATAAAGTTTCAACTTAAAATACAATGTAATGAATGTAAGTGTAACCTGCAGTGCTTGCAATATCCAAGAAATACTCACTAGGCTAAATAACATGTAACAGATAGGAAACACACCCATGAGTTGGACACTACAGAATTAAGTCGGTTTGAGGTAATTCTGTTTAGTTGTTGTTGTCCTAATTATTTAGAAATGTATAAAAAAGCAAGGGAAAATATTAAGTTTTGAGTAGTACAGATTTTAAAAGTAATTTTTGCATGATACTTCATAAAATTTAATGTTTGGTAAAGTTCAAGATAAAATTTAGACTACAACAAAAATTATCTAAGCTACTTTTTTTTGTTTAACCTCATGTGCATTTTGCATCTAAAATAATGAAAACCTAACATGATTTTATCATTCCCTTTAATGCCTGTTCAAAACAAAAAAGAATTTAAGATTCAAAATGAAAACCATGCTTTCAAGATACTGTTCAGGGTAATAAAAACAGGTGGAGCGACAAAAGCATTTATGTATTGATGTAAACCTTTCTACCAGTACCAGCAAAAAAAAAAAAAAAGAAAGGTAAAAAAAAATTAATGGAATTTTAATACTGACAATATCAACATATAGGAAAACAATCCAATTTAAACAAATCCTTCTACAGTTAACAATCATTAGCCATACCTTTCTGAGAGTAAATTTAAATAAAGTAACAAAAACATGCAATATTTTTTCTAAAATAATATTCAAAGAGTCTGTTTCCACAATCTGTGCTGTTTACCTCTTTCCTGTCAATCTGTTTATTGGTTTCACATTGTCATGAGACAACAAGCAAACTAAGAGCCTGTAAGGTTCTAGATTCATAAACAGTATGGCATACAGATTTTAAAAGTGCATTTTACTTAAAAGTGTGACATTAGGAATTGCCAGTTGTTAAAATAACTCATGAAAAAGATATTATACAGGCATGCTGGGTGGACTGAAACACTTGCTCATGGTGGGATCATTTGGAAATAGAGAAAGTAATTCGAACATCCTCTTCAAAAAAAATAAATTTAGCTTTCAGAGAATGTGCTACTGCACTTGAAAGTTAGCACTATTTCTTTTAATGAAAAACTGGAAATCTTGCTTCCTAGCAGGGAGAATTACAGTGAAAGCATGTGCATGTGAATAAAAAAAATGCACACAGGCAAATACTGAACTGGGCTCAATTTAGCTGCAACACATTTCTACAATAAACATGGAATGTCAGTGTCATGATTACCTTTATTAGTTTGCTAGTAAGAAAAAGGAGAACCTATTTAATGGTTTACAACTTGATCTAATCCAAGGAGGGTGGAGCTGAGGCACTGCCTTCTACATTCAGGATTTGTGAACTTTCTCCTGCAAGACTCTGTTCTGTTTTTTTTAAGAAAGTTCCTGTTTTCTGAGTACCCATAGGTGAATCCCAAATGGATATATTTACAGCCTGATGAATGAGGGGTTCATCAGACCTTATGGGCAGATACATTTGATCTTCAAATATATCTTCCACAGTGTCACTATCCTGATGAGTGTTTTTTTGAGGAATGCTGATGGGCTGTAGCATGAAGCTATGCCGGGACTCCAACTCTATCAAACCGTTTCCGCTGAAATCCATATCAAAACGGTCTGATTCTTTATCCTCCATCCATTTTTCAGCTTGATGACTATTTCTCCAGTGTGCATCATTCAAATGACCTTTCTCAGGAATATCATTGTTTAATTCAAGTTTCCTCTCCTGACTTAAATTCACCGTGCTCAAAGCAAGGGCTTCAAAGTCCATTGGCACAATAAGCTGCAACTCTTCTGTGGTCTGGCCACTCGATTCTTCAGCAGAAGTCATTTCCACCAAGGTAAATGGCACGGATGATTCGTCCCCATCCCCATTGCTTCGAGCAGTGTTAGCCTTGTCTGTTTTATTTTGCTGGTAGTAACTGTTCAGCAGTGCAAACATTCTATCTACATCCTTCAAGTAATTAGTCCAGTCAGCCAGACTAAGTCTAAAGTTGTATCTGTATTCATACACACTTTCATTCACACTGTACAAGTCTTCCAGTCCTTGCCAGTCAATGTCGCCAGTGAAACTGGGCAGGTTAGCCTTCCCATCCATCCCATAACTGTCCTCTGTTGAAAGAAAGAATAAAGCCTAATGGTGAACACTATTAAAAGTGCAAGCAAAGTTTCCATGTGTTTCTATTCCGATTTGCTTGAAAGCACCACTGTTCATAAAGTAGGTAGCTCAAAACGCAAGATGTTCCACCTCTTCCGTCATCAGATGAATGGTTCTGACCTTGGGTATGTTCACAGCTCCTGCTAAACACACAGCAAGAACCCCCAGTCTCCTGCTACATCCTCAGGCTGATTTGAAAAGAACAAAATCTAGTCTAATGGGGCTTGTCTGATATTTCAAGGTAGAAAAATCATTTCAATACACAAATAATCCATTCACCTTTCTTGAACACTTCAACAAGATACGCAAGAACCAAACGATGGTTAAGTGTAAAAGATGGGACTAACTCTGAAAGCCATTAGTGATCTGAACTTCAATGCCAACATGAATTTGGTTTCTGAGTAGCTTAAGACATTTGGTCCACAAACCAACCAGACACATTTTATTTAATAAATGATAGCTAAAGTTAGTTTTAATCTATTTTGCAAACCTTAATTTTAATTTACATGGAGTAAATAGCAGAAATAAAAGCTGTAAAAATTTGGTGTGAATTAATTTATAGGACGGCACCACTTTGTAAAATAGCGTTAAAATACACAGAGATAGAGAATCTTCTAAAGATTTTGGTTTTTTGAAAGAAAATATCTAACAGCTTTATCTAATAATAAGTCTGACTAAAGACCATATGAGTCTAAAGTAGCAATGGAGCTGCATTTTTTATTGATCACAGCCAGAAAACACAAAAACATGAAGGAAACCTGTTTCCAAAATATTTTCAAAAGTCACTACAGTAACTATAGTGACTCAGATTATCAGCCGTGTTGTGAAGCCTATTCTATATTGACAAGTAACACTGAACAGCACTTTTTTATTTAATTCACTGTTCAGACTGAGTTCAGTCTGAAGATTTTATCAACAAAGAGGTCTACAAGGAAAAACTAATCAGGCAATGCAAAAGTCTGTCGGGGAAAGTGACAAATATGTCCTTACAAATGATATTGCAGGCAATCTTTAGTGATTAATTAACTGATATAATTTATTATCTTTCTGAAAATTGTACAGGCAGGTAGGCTAGTAGCAATTGCCTTGAAAGTTCAAGTGGCTATAGTCCAACAGCATGAACTGAGCTTAAATATTCATCTATATTGAGCCCTTCATTCCTACAGTTGGTTCTTGGCTTCTCCATAAATTTGTTTGCATTTTACTTTGCCCTTTCTCATTATTCAAGTGAAAGAGAAGATACAACTTCTGTCTATCATAGCATATATTCTTTGCTTCTTTACTAGGTTGGTATTTCATAGTGCAAAGAACTTCTCCAACATTTAGTCCATCATATGGAAAGACAGAAAAATACCATTATGGTCAGAAAAACCCTGGAGATTTTCTTATGATATGGGAACTTATTCTGTTCACACCAAAAGGAGACCACTGTCTTTACTTGAAAACACTTGAGTCTTTGCTCTTAATTGATATTTTCTCACTTCATGCAATTGTAAATATTTTACAAAACAAAATTTTAATAATTTACTTTTTTGAAATCAAGTTCTAGTTTTTTTGAAATCAAGTTCAAGTTGTTTTTTTTTTTTGCAAACACTTGGCAAACTTCCTGTTCCAGGAAGAAACACAAGCTTTTGGAATTTGGTAGAAGAACTATGAGAGAGTGTCTTCCTTCTTTCTTTTCCTGAGGTAGAAAAGAGAAATGAAATCATGGCATGATTTGTAGGCCACCTTTGCAAGTCAAAATATGGCTAATTTGTTTCCTGAAACAAAAAGTAATTAAATACTGCAGAGGTTTCAAGAAAGAAGTCTTACTATTCCCGTGCTGAGAGGCATAAAGAGCCCTAGAAACATCATAGAGAGGGATGCTTTTTCAAGGAATTTAGTTAACAAACCCTCTAAGATATTAACCACCCTGCAAATGCAAGGGTATTTAAATTTTGGTCTGCTATTATTTCTATTGAGAGTTTCTTTGCCATGTCAGAGCTGGTATAGGAAAACAAATTGTGGTGAGAACAGTCAGTGGCCAAAGCAGTTTGGAATGCTAAGGCAGAAACTGAAACAGGAGTGGTACCACTTGACTTGTAAGAGATTTGGGGATGCATCAGGACAGTGGGGAGCAAAGGAGAAGCCAGAGAGGTGCCTTTGTGCCCAGGAGAGCCTTTGCTGCCCATCCATGGCAGTGTGAGAGAGGGCTGAGCTGAGCAAGCTGGAGTGGCAGGGTGGGCAATGGGGAAGTCTGGGTACCAGAGGAGAGAAGCAGGGTTTCTCAGGAGCCTCAGCAGCAGGAAAATGGGGCTGAGCTGCAGAGGAGTAAGATCAGCAAGGAGTTTGCTGTAGTCCTACAAAATAGCTGAAAGCCTGAGTCAGAGCTCCATGATTCTTCATGCTAGATGTTTTCTTTGCCTTTTATATGTGGCACTGTTTCTGCAGTCTCAAAGGAGTTTCACAGTTGGCAAGACACTGGCCATTGTTTTGTGATCTTCATGTCAAGCAGAAGAAAATAACTTATTTGAACATATAGGACAGAGGCAACTTGCATTCATATATGTTAAACAAATAGGAAAGCAAAGTCTTGAGGTCCTAGGTCTGACTATGCTGATTGACTAAGCAAGTCACCTCACAGCTTAATTCCACAACTTGCAGTAAGCGTGAAATGTTTCTCACTGAAATTAAAGCAGACAGAGGGAAGAAGAGAGGAAAGAAAAGGTTTTCTCCTGCAAGAAATTTCATTACAAACATGTGTGAAACGGGAAGCGCAGATGAGTTGCATTTGAGTAACAGTACAGCAGTGGTTTCCTTGAACGATATTTTGGAATTTCTCAGCTGTAACACACACCCAGAAGAGAGAAAAAGTGTTGTTAACTGTTCACAGCAAAACTTGTTCAGTTTTTTGGTTTGCTTGTTTGTTTATAAATCAAGCATTAATTAAGCTTTACTCTCCATTTAACACACTCCAGAGTTCTATGATTCCATATGTGGCTGTGTTGTCTCAAAACTAATAAGAGATTTGAATACCTCTCCACTGGGACTAAAGTCAAGTAGCTACAATCATATCCTTAGTGGCTTTGAAAAGCTTCAGACAAACAGGGGAGGAGAGAAGAATGTGCAGTTCCCACATCTTGTAACCAACCATGTCTTCAGAACCACATCCTGTCCATCAAAGGACATAGATGACACCAGTTCTTCCCTGCTGAAGCTCTCCCTGTGTGTTAAGCAAGCAGCACTATACAGGCTGTTCCCATACAGACCTGTTGTCCCAGTATTTTAGTTGTGACACAGGTAGTGCTGTACTAACTCAGGCCATTTTGAACTGGTCTGAGTGGAGACACTGCACAGTCTGAAGGAAGCCCAAGGGGCAGTTAGATGACTTGGCAGCATAGGGCATTTCCATTCTTATTTCCCTTGTTTCTCTGCAGGCATCAAGAAAAGGATCCTCCAAGAGATTGTTTTAATGATTTCTGATAAATTATAATTGTTAATTTAATTTTTATTTGTTTGTTTTAGAAAAAAAAAATCCAGCAACATGGGGTTTGAACAAATATGTTGAACCAGGTCATCTGTGTATATTGAGAAACTGGGTGTCTGGAGCATAATGGCACAGAGCAATATTGCTTGTGTTATACCATACCTGCTATATATCCCAGTAGCAAAATGTTTATTTTATGTTCTGTTGGTACCAGAATTTAAAATGTTTTCAATACTAAAGAGCATAGCAAGATACAACTTACAGATTAATCCTGTATGCTCTACTATTTCATGCAATCCTACAATTCAAAAATGCCATTTCTGTTAGATCTGTAGTTAAACTGAGGAATGCTGACAAGAATGCCTTCTAATGAAAGAATTTAAAAGCATAATTACAGGGATTATTTTCTATCATTGTAGTAACCAGTTCCCACCAGGCTGTAACAAGCAATGCAAACAGCAGGAAATAACCAAATGAAAGCTTATCATTTTCTTAGATCCCAAAACTACTCAAGTGCAAAGCTACAAAGTTGGCTGTAAAGAAAAATTTGCTGCTTAAATTGAAGATTAATAAAACATTGAAATCCATTAGCTTAATTGTTCCCTGGCTGCTGGAAACTAATGACAAGGTTCTTTGCAGAAGACCCCATGATAAAAGTTTCACATAGACTTGTGTACCCCTTGGACCCAGTTTACTTTATAGGTAAGCAATGTCTATGAGGAGCTACTCCTCCAAAGCACATAGAGATGAAAATGTATAAAACTGCGAAACTGTGAAAAGGAGTCACGTTTAAATATGACACTCGACAGATATTAATCTGTTTTTCACCCTGGGGACAAGTACTGCTCAATGAACAGCAAGTGCAGTACTGCTAAACCCCGAGCCTCTTCAGGTTTTTGCTTTATGTTTGACTGGTTTCTCCACTATGATACACAAAGCTCTGCATGATAAACAAGTAGATGCAATAAGGGTACTTGAAAACAGAAAAATATACTTACAAACAGCCATCTTTTAGGTATAGGGCATTAGGTATAAAAAAACCTCAGCTGGTGTCTTTCCTCAGTTCAAATAATACAAGCTTTCAAGGAAATTTCATTTCATGCTTGTCTGATCTGGTTTGAAAGCATCAACCTCACAGACCAAAAGAGCCTCAACTTTCTGCCACACTTGTATTGAACAGTCTTCTGCTGGCATCTGAGCACATGCTGCTCACACTGAACACTGCTTTTGCTTAAAGCAGCATTTGCAACCATTTCCTAAAGCCAGTGAGAAGATTTTACTTTACTTCTATAGGTTTGATTAGGTTCTTTCTCAGAAAGCTTTTTAAGCACATTTGAAGTACATTTACAAAGCAGCTGTACAGACTTCCTAAAGAAAACAATTAAAATGCCTTCTGACCCATCCAAAATCAACCCAGCAACAGAAAAGCAACTCAAAAGAGGTGATTCTTTTTGTGTCATTTCCCCTGGGTAAACATCTAAGAAATACAGGCATGAAATATGAGCTGTATGGTCTTGCTATGACAATGAGCTACGTTAAATGCAGAATGGTAGGTCTAAGAAACAACGGCCAAGTTCAGTGTAGAGTAGTTAGAAAATGCATGCACCAAAAGCTATGCTGTGTGCAACATGGCAGGATAGTGACATTAGTTGAAATGGACTGGAGTCATGCAATTATTTGGAAAGAAGCTGCTGAGGAGAACAAAAAAGTGTGGATACCTGTGTGGATCATAGCTTCCTCCATCTTTATTTCCTGATATAGGAAAATACAAGAGTAATTTTTGTTAGTGTTTAGAACTTGTAAAACCATTCACAATGTAGTTTTCCATGCACAGCATCTAATTCCTAAAAAGAAATGTACTGTGTTAAATAAAGACAGAGCTGCAGTCCAACAAAGATTTCCTGGAAGTTTTATATAAAAGAACTGAAAAACCAAGGTTTTTCAAAAATAATAAAATGCCCAAACAATTAGGTATTTGAAAAAAAAAAAAGAAACATTTGTAGACGAAGAAAGAGATACAAAGATGCAACACCACAAATTATGTAGAAGGGAAAATTCCTGTAGAAAAACCCACCCCAATATTCAATCAATCAAACGTAAGTGCAGTGAATTCCAGAGATATGAAGTAAAAATACCAGCTATTTTTGTACTCAGAGACTCTTGTAAAGAAATAGTGCTTTCTTCAAAGATGGAGGAGACTACTGCTGATAAGAAGTTTGCAACGTTAAGTCTCAGTTGTGGTATAGAGCCTGAAGTTGCCCACATGGGCAGGCAGCAGTTGGAATAAACACAGGATCTAATACCTCACCTGCTACTGGGAGGCAAAAACTAACAAAATAAACCCTGCAACAGAGAAGAGAGTTATGACTATGAAGATCTGCATGTGCTTGTTATCAATTAGCTCCAATAATGTAATATCCTTTCTGCAGCATTTCTGTCAAATGATGTTGTCTGCCATCAATATCTATCAAGAATAACCTGTGCAAACTTGCAAAGAAGCTTCTTGGTCATGCAGTTGTGCAGGATGGTGTATGTGGATCATTCCAAACTATTCAGAGCAACACTTAGGAGGGTAACACTTCATGGATACATTTACTACTTAAGTATATATATTAAAAAAAAGAGAATAAAATGGAAATAAACACTTCTGTTTTTTCTTGTACCTGTTTCAAGTCCCTTCGGCCTTGGATTGCACTGCTTATAACCTTGACAACTTCGCAGTTCCATTAGCTGTATGTGTAATTGATTCAAAATGCCTCTTTCCACTGTGTGTACTGTATTGGTCAGCTGAGAAAGAGAGGAATGAAGGGAATCAATACTTGTTAACAGAAATAAAACACCCTAGAGGAGTCTAGTGAGTAACATTTTGTAACAGGGAAAGGGGTTTACCTGATAGGGATCAGTGTTCATATCAAAATATTCCAAGAAGCCAGTTGCAAACTCACAAAAGAGAAAATTGTGGGTGTCATTGACTGTTCGCAAACACCAGTAAGTGTTGTTATTTGAGCTTGTGCAAGCACAGAAAGAGCCCACTGTAATTAAAGAAACAAGTTTTTAGTTCTCAGTGGAAAATAATATGCTTATTTCTTCTACTAGTATCTTCAATTCCGATCACAAAATATTCACATTGCTGTAGACTGCAATATGAGAACTGTTTTCATAACTGTTTGCTACTCCACAGCTAAAAAGTAAGTAGCCAATTTAGCAGAAGTCTTAGCACAATCAGAACAGATTATCACTAGGAGACAATTTCTTCTCCAAATGTAACATTGTTCTTAGCAAATTTTCTGCTTGGAGTCAAATGTATTGTAACTTCATCATCATCTGATCTTGAAGTTTTGGAAGGGAAGTTTTCAATCACTTTTCTTTCTCCACCATCAGAGATGAGGAAGGCAAATTTAATGCAGATGACTGAGGAATGACAAAGCATGCCTCAACTGGATAGTTATCTATATACCCTGAAGTTTAACAGGACTTAAAACATCTTTTACCTCTAGTATTTTGTTCATATACACCAGGTGAGTGCTACACAGTTGTGATTTTGAAATTGTTTTAGAATACAAAAAGTGCAGATAATGAGAAGAATTCATAATGGGTATTATCTGCATTTTCTTTTATGTGCTGATGTTTGTGATAGCATTAACAATCAAAATAATGCTCTGATTGCATGAAGTGGAAAAAATGTAGTACAGCAGAGGATAACCTAGATCATGTCTGTAGGTGGACATAAGACTTACAGTTCCAGAATGGAGCTGTTTGCCAGTGGTTGTTGTCATGGGTAAAACACGTCAGCCCAGGAAGGCTACACTCGTCTCCTTTCTTCTGCCGCTTTTTCCCCTTCCTTTCCTTCTTCCTTCTCCGGTTCTCTTTGAACAGCTGCAGTTTGCCATCCACTTCCTGTGCTGCTTCTCTGTTCAGAGGGAAAGTTGGACATGGCTGACTAAGAACAGTCTCTGGTTAAGAACTGCACTAGCAGGTTTTATGTCTTTCTCGCTTTTTTAAAGATTGGAGAATGAGAACATGACCTTCTAGCTCAGCTTCCGCCCCAGCTGTTAAGACAAGGTGTTCCCTTCAGCAAGCATGAGAAATGATGCACTGCTGCATTTAGGTTTAGCTGGCTCTTTTAAAAACCATTGATCAGATTCTGAAATTCTTATTTTAATCCATCTTCTATCACTATGTTTTAAAAATACTATACACAAACTTTGACAAGTCTGTCCAAAACTACCGAATGTTTCTTGTGAGAGCTTGCTACATTTGACCTTTACTTTGTCTCACCTTCTTCCTTCCTCTCTTATGAAAAACAACAACAAACCCCCGGAAAAAGCAAGCACCAAATCCCCTAAATTGGATTTTGCCAGTTACCAAAAAAAGCCACCTCTGAGAATGAGAGGATAATAACAATCTTACTTGAAGGGATGAAGATGGCTCTTGAGCTTCTCTTGGGCCTTTACCCCTTTCTCTTTGTTGTAATAGCTACAGGGAAAAATATTAGGAATTATTAAGTTAAAACCAAACCATTTAAGTTAAAACCAGCAACATATTGTCTTTGATATTTTCTTAAGGAACTATACAGTATGACTTACAATTTTCACTTCATTTAAGGAAGTTATATCTCTGTGAATGATCCTATGCTAAGTTATAGCATAACTACAGCTGGATTCAAATCAGTTAGTAGAATACAAATATATTTAATTTTAAAATGTTAGTATCTTCTTGTGGCTCACAGTAGCTTCTACTTGTATCTAACTAAAATAAGTATCATAGAATCATAGAATTTTAGGAGTTGGAATGGACTTACAGATCATGTAGTCCCAACCCCTTCTGCCATGGGCAGGGACACCTCCCTACCGGACCAGGCTGCTCATTTGCCTCACCCAACCTGGCTTTGAGCACTGCCAGGGCTGGGGCAGCCACTACTTCCCTGGGCAACCTGTTCCAGTGCGTAAAAAACTTTCCTAATACCTAGCCTAAATTTGCCCTTCTTCAATTTGAACCCATTACCCCTTGTCCTATCACTGCAGTTCCTAACAAAGTGCCCTCTCTGACTCCCTTGTAGGCCCTTCAGATACTGATAGACTACTATGAGGTCTCCATGCAACCTTCTCTTCTCCAGGCTGAACAGTCCCAAATTCCTCAGCCTGTCCTCATAGGGGAGATGCTCCATACCTCTTGTCAACTTTGTGACCTCCTCTGGACTTGCTACAACAGTTCCATGTCCTTTTTATGTTGAGGGCACCAGAACTGTATGCAGTATTCCAGGTGGGGTCTCACAAGAGCAGAGTAGAGTGGGAGAATCCCCTCTACCTGCTGGCCACACTCCTTTTGATGCAGCCCAGGATTCAGTTGGCTCTGTGATGAGCTTCTCATGCACCATCATGCTTAAGGCTCTCTTCTCATTGCTGGTCTCAATTACTTCCTCACTCAGCCTGTAGGTGTGCCTGGGATTGCCATGACCCAGATGTAGGACCTTGCACTTAATTTTGTTAAACTTCATGAGGTTTGCATTGGCCCACCTTTCAGGCTTGCAAGGTCTCTCATACAGTAGGTCCCTCATACCTCAACAAGTAGCTACAGTGGTTATAAATATCAATAAAGCTTAGGTTCTTTATTTTCACTCTCAAAAAAACCTGGAATATGTGTAAACCTTAGAAAACAGTGTAGTTTTCAGTATTGAATGCCATCTCTCTTACCTCTGTTTACTACAATCACATTCATCTGGTTTTCTTCTTTTTAGGTGCCCTCTAACTTCCCGCAAATTCTTAATTTTGTCTTGGAGAGCTTCGATCTGCAGAGAGTATTTCTGAATCAGAATTATTCTTTGAAAAAGTGTCAGTGCAAAGACTGCACTCAGATTTTAAAATACCTCTTACCTCCTTATCAATATAAGCCTTGTGGTCCTTCCAGGCTCTGGCAGATTGGTACAGCTCCCTCTCACAGTGAATAGTGTCATTTGGGAGCATAAAACATCTGTAGACATGAGTTTAACAAATAGGAAAAAGAAAGTAATTGATTTCCTAGTTGCCAATCCGTTTTTTATCTTCCTTCCAACTTTCTTAATTGATTGTTTTTTACATCCTGTTAATAAATAAATAAACTCTACAAGGTTTTCTTATGTAGACTTAATAAAATTAATAACTGCTTCTATCTGTTTTCTCTGGGGAAAAAAATCATCATCCATGACAGATGCTCTGTGTCTGCTAAGCAAAATTGCAATGGTAATGCCATCTTGGAAATTCTGAATCTATCAGAAATCAAACTGAAGGAAAAATCTGTTCAGAACATAAAGCCTCTTGTTAATTAAATGTGCCATTGCTTATTTAACCACCAGCTGCTGAGACATATATTCTTGCCACATGAATGTGACTCATCTTTCAAGCACGCAAAATGCTCAAGAGCATACAGTCAGTGGGCTGAAGATCAATGTAATCAATTAAGACCAATAAGAACCAAAGTTAGAGCAAAGAGTTCAAACAAGTGGTTAAAAAAAAAGCCAACAGAGTACTTGAGTTAAAAAATGGTGCAATGACAAAAATATTCCTAACAGTGTTTGAAAAAACAGCTCTACCAAGAGAAATAACCCAAACACATGAAAGACAGAGGAAGTGGTTTGAGATAGGAAAGACCAGCAGACTACAGGTTGTGTTTTCAGAGTTGCCATGCTGACAATTAGAAATTCTTTAATGAGGGAAATCTTCCAGTTTTAGAGACAGAACATTTATTGGGTCCTGCTTCATGAGAACCTTTCTTTTAATTTTTAGAAAAATAGCAGAAAGAAAGGTATAGATGTTTATCTCTTCCCACGTCATCCCGTTCTGCTTTTTTTTCTTCACTTGTAGAATTCTGAAAGCAAGACTGTATTCTGTAAAGGCCAAAACACTTTATGGAGAAGTAGCATTTTTTCCAGAAAACTATTTATACTTTTGTTAATTCCACAATTGGAAATTATCAATGTAAAAAAAATGGATAATTTTATTTATTTAAAACTAAGTTTATGTTTTCCTTAAAAAAAAAAAAAGAAAAAAGAGACAAATGGTGTTTATGTTTTAAGTACAACAAAAAGGATTAAATGGAGATTTTTGTTTCTTGTGTCTTCCTGGATTTTCAGGTCAATCATACCAGTTTTTTTAAACTATAAAATATTTTCAGATGTTTGCCTTTTCATTCAGATTTAGTGTAGGTTTCTTCAGGATCACAGAATCATAGAATGGTTTGGGTGGGAAGGAACTTTAAACACCATCTAGTTTCAAATCCTCTGCCATGGGCAGGGACACCTGCAACTAGACCAGGCTGTTCAGGGCCACATCCAGCCTGGCCTTTAACACTTCCAGGGATGGGACATCCATTGCTTCTCTGGGCAACCTTTCTGTGCCCTACTACAGTTCAAGTAAAGAATTTCTTTCCAATATCTAATCTAAATCTCTTTTAGTTTAAAATTGTTCCCCTTCATCTTACAATTTTCTGCCCATGTAAAATGTCACTCTTTTTTTTGTAAGTCCCCTTTGGGTACTGGAAAGCTGCTAGAAGGTGTCTTTTCCAGGCTGAACAGCCCCATCTCTCAGCCTGAATAAACAGGCCTAATGTATCTTAGCTGATGTTAGTGGCTGCAAACAACTAAGAATTAAGAACCATGATGTAACTGATCTAATCTGTCTTCATGAAGAGTGGGATTTCAGTCATTCCAAATTTAGGTCTCTAACCTGGTAGCCTAGACTTTATAAAGAACAACAGGAGCATCATGTTAATGGGGTGATTAGTCCATTTCAATAGAAAGGATAAATCTCCTTCTGGAGATGCCTACTCCTCCTCAACAACAAAACCTAAACTAGAGGCCTTCCTTTAAAATATGCATAATAAATATAAACAATTCCACTGACTAAAAAATACAATTCGGGTTTATCTATGCTCTATGACAACAGTTTTAAGTTCCTAAATATTGCATGGAGAGAGACAGAATGCAATTAAAAAATGAAGATTTCATTTTAAGGGAAAAAAAACCCACAGAAAAAGCAATCGTACTTGTGTGTCACTCTGACAGAGTTGGGTTGACCTATAACATCAGTGCCATCAGCGACCATTGCGTCACCTGCAGTACCAGCAGTTGCCTCTGCTTCTTCCTCATTTTCAGCATTGTGACGCTTGGTGATACTTCTGGTCTTTAACACCTGTAGTTCTTCTTCTTCCAGATTTATGTCATATATTTCACCTTCAAATTCCACAGACAAGGACCGGGTTTGGCGAGTGTGAACAAATCGGGGTTTGTATTCTGAAGCAGAACAAAGAAATACTCCCAGTTGAACATACATATCTATGTGAGCCATGCCATGAATACAGAATATATTCCAAAGAGTAAGAATGCTGTTCAGCAAAATCAGGTTATTTTTCATAGGACTTTATAGAAACTTATTTAATAATTTTTTGATAAATCATGATCCAAGCTTTCATGAGTAGCATGAATTTTTGATTGCTTCAAGGTTTGTATTTCATGTTAGTCTGATCTTATGCCACAGTTTGTATATCTTCAAATAAAATCAGTATCTCAGAAATCAGATATCTAGAAAGAGACACTGAAAAAAATATCAGACCACAGAATTAGAAACCACTTTAGAAAATTAAACCATTCAGTATGGTGAAACAAGGTCACCACCTGTAAATTGGCATGTCACACAAGTTTGACTTATGCTTTAGAATAAAAATGACTTTTTAAAAGGTTAATACCTTTCCCTTTTCAAAGGTAGGAATTAAAAGGGCAAGAATCCGTCATATATCAGTCTATATGTATCTGCATGTATCTATATGTATACATATACATATATTTTGACACACTCATCATCTGTATTTATGTGTGCAAGTCATAGACCATGAAAATATTGCTGCACTGCAGAACTACAGTGAGATTTATTACATCACTTTTACCCCTTGAAATCTCTGAGCTTAGCAGACTTAGGCAATTAACTCTTTGAGGGGTTTTTATGCTATGTACAAGAAGACCTGTGTTTGGGCTCAGTCTGAAAGACATTATACTCTTTACTTCTTTTGCTAAATGCATTTAACCCAAATCAAGTTGATAAAACTCACAGTCAACACCACACCAAACCATATTCTACACACAGAGAGCTGTAGAAATACAAAATTCAGCCTGTAAAAAGATCAGCTGTAGGGCATTTCCATTTGTTACGTCTATGCTGAGCACATCTATGCCACCTAACAATAATTCATGCAGCAGAATAAAACGGGAGCTATAAGAAAGTACTGCCTTTGGCAGGTAGTGTCAGTTCTACTGCAGCTTTTATGTTAGTGTCTTTTAGTGACTCACACTGAACAGTTTCTGCAAGAATCTTTTAGAAGTGCAGATAGTGAGTCTTATTCAACTCTTCATTCAAACCATCCTGTCCTAAACCGTTCCAGCAATTGCCTGCTGTCAGGTGAAAAAAAGGCTTCTCAGTCAAAGCAATGAAGACATTCATGTTCCTGAACAGAAAACCTCTTTCAAAGCATCCTTCTGATCTATGACCATATTGGTCTTTAACAAAATTATGCAGAAAGATTCTTAGGGTCAGATAGGACAATGCTTGCATTTAACAGCCTCTGATGATACGACTTGATCAAGCGACTGAAAGGTAGGATATATAAGCATCTCATCCATGTCATCTGAAGACTGAGGCCTGAACTAGTCATTCTCTTAACAATGTCTCATCTTCATGAGTATTTCCCTGCTCTACTCAGAGGAGTGTTAAGGCTGATTTGGAGGAAACAGAAGAGGGAAGAGGTATAAGAATGTTGTAAAGAAGAAAAGCGTAACAAAGGGACTTTTTCCAATCACTCCTTCAGATGTTTGCCATTGTTTCCCTACTTTCTCTCCTCAAGTAACTTCCCTCAGTCCCAGTCCCCATTCAGCCCTTGCTGGTGACACGGCAACACCTCTTTCCAAGGTACACAGTAGGTAACTCCCTTTGAAAATATCACTTGAGGGAACATTCCCCAGTTTGAGAATCACCCTGGCAGTCTGTGGTGTGTAGACTTTTCAGCAGAGGTCTGCCTGTACACACTGTGAGGTTCCTCAGATCACCATAAACAAATGGAAGAAATTGTGCTAAGACAGCATTTAGTCTGAATAATGAGACAACTTAAGACAGACAATACTGTGGTTGAATGTAAAAAGAATACCAGGGATTCTTGTTCACATCCAGAGTGGGGAAGTTTTTAAATCACGAAATATTTTGAATGATACTGACATTATTTTCTTATTTCATAGACATCTGTGCAGCATCTTCTAACTTCTCCATTTCTCATACAACTTCACTATCTTCTTGCTTTAAAGATCCATCTTAATTTTATTTCCCCAGTCTAGGATTCTAGTTAGAGAGCAGGAGAATACAGCCTAAGATCCAAGTCTGCCTCTGTTGCTATAGCTACAAAAGTTCACTGTAATCACTGGGCAGAGAAAAGAAAATACTCGCACCATTTGAAAGAATGGCTTCTTGTAAAAATCATTAGCAGAAACAAACGCATGTGCTACTGTCCTAAACCTCTCTTGTACAGTCCCTTCAGCCCACGCTCCACTAGAGGACACTGCAATCTCACTCGCGTCCCTGCAGAGATCTCGCTACAGACGCGCTGAGCAGTGAGAGCCCAGCAGTGTTTCAGTCTGAGAGCAGTGGGTAACAGATGTCTGCGGGATATCACCAAACAGCGAGTGAATTCAGCGTTAACAATGCAAGAAAACTCTTGCACTGGCCACCTTGGCAAGTAACGGCGCCGATTCACTCGCGGTGCCACGGGGCTGTCGTGTCTGAGCAGCGCGAGAGGTGGCACCAGAGCATCACCTCCACCACCACTCAGGGCCAGCCTAAGGACTCACAGCGATCCATAGAACGAATATTATTAGTGTTGCTATTACAAATCACGGAATGGTTTGCGTTGAAAGGGACATTAAAAGATTATCCAGTTCCAACCCCCCTGCCATGGGCAGAGACACCTGCCACTAGGCCAGGTTGCTCAAAGCCCCATCAAAACTGGCCTTGGACACCTCCAGGGATGGGGCACCCACAACTTCTCCAGGCAACCTGTTCCAGTGCCTCACCACCCTCACAGTATGGAATTTCTTCCTAACAGCTAACCCAAACCTACTCTCTTCCAGTTTAAACCCATTCCCTCATGTCCTATCTCTACATGCCCTTGTCTAAAGTCCCTCTTCAGCTTTAGGCCCCATCAGGTAACCTGTGTTACCCCTTTAGGTATTTATTACAGAGGCAATTATGTAGAACCTGACTACCAATTACAGATGTCTTCATTAGACACAGAGGTGAAAGCAAGAGCATACTGGTAGGACAATGCTCTGCTAGCCCTTTCCCCTTGCTCTCTGCCTCGGAGTCCAAGAGATCGAATAACACTTACTTTGCGCATTAGGATTTCTCAAGAACTGTCTTTGATTTTTTCTTTGGGTCCTGCTGTTTCGGTAATCAGCATCTCCACAGTTGCAGTCTTTGTCTTTCCCGCTGTACCCCCGGGAGTGTATGCTGCGGGTTCTTTTTCTGATGGCAAGGATGTCGCTAGACACCTTACACTTGTGAATTCGAAGTTTTCCGGAAGCATCCTCTGTGCACTGCCATTTCTGTGAGACAAGAAATGAAGATGATTTCTCAGCAGCCTTCCAAACCCCTGTTGCTTTCAGGGGGACTGCAAAACAAGACAGGCAAATTTCTTTAAAAATTTAACCAGTTGCTTAAATAACAAACTGAGAAGGGAAACAGAGAAGGGACCAAATTCACTCACATTCTTCCTAACATCTTTCTCATGCTAAGCAAACATAAGCCTGAATGGAACCACTGCAAATCTGCATAAGAAAATAAAACCCAGCCAAAAAAAAAGTGATATAAATCAAAAGTATCTAGACTAAACACATCCTTGAAAGGAGCAAGTAAAATATCTTAATTTACTGAGCCAAGGAGCACAGCTGTCAGGGCTGTTTTCATCAACTCTCTTTTTCTTAGAAAAAAGCCAAACTTTTTTTCTTTGTTCTGTGACTTGGAATTTCTAACATGATTCAGGGAAAAATAAAAAAAACCCACAGATGAAGAACTCGTTCTGTTGTAGGGTTCCCTGGAAAGAAAAGGACAAATTGTGGATGTGATCCACAGAAAGATACACAAACCACTCCCTACAGCTAGCAGGTGCAAGTGAGGAGAAGAACCTTAGGGACAAAAACCAAGAGATTATCTTGGATAAACTCCTTTGGATATTTAAGTCTTGAGATTTGTATCAGACATGGGAGGAAAAGGTGCAGTCTGGAAGGAGTACCTGTAAAAAGCATTGCATGTGTGCTGAATATCAGAGCAAGTGTGGGAGAATGAGAGGAAACAGAGGGCTTTTTTTTCCAGCTTGTCTGCACAATATCTGTCTGACTTGATTATCAACATCACTGAACCAGATGGAAGATTCCAGGTGCATTTTTCCAGTGGATTCCATTGCCTTCACATTTCAAATTAAAAAGCAACTGGGATTTTAATTTCCTTTCCACATCACACTGCCCTAAAAAAGCTAAATGTCATTTCAAAAAACCCATGTGTAGGTGCTGAGAGATCAGAGCTCCTTCGCTCATGCCCAAAGCTTGGCATATATGGCAATCACAATACACTACACAAACTAGGAAGACTGTGAAGATTTTAAGTCAGTAGTAGTCTGAATAACAATAGGGAGAACTAGGAATAGCTATGTTTATTTATAATTTTAATACAACTATAAATGACTATTACCCAGTGGGTTTTCTCCACTTTTGCATCTTAAGCCACAATGACCAGAGTTTGCACACAAAGCAATTAAGTTTGGCTGGATATTGTAAAGAAGAAAACTCAATAATGCTATTGATAACCGGAACATTTTAGCTGCAGTTTCAGGAAAGTTTACCTATAATGTGCCCTTTTTTTGGTTCCCATGACTGAATAGCATAAGTAGCTCTCTCTTGCCTCATTAATAATAGCAAAACAGCCAGATGCCAGTCCTAATGGAGTTCCCAGCTTAATTTCTGAAACGGACACTAATATCAGAGCATACACATTTCAGTAAGCTCCATTAACTAATGGCTGCTCTGGACTGTTTTGGGAATGCCATCATGCCGATTGAAGAATGAAGAAAGAAAACTAAGCCTCAGGTAGATTTGCTGACCTGATAACCTGAGGAATGAGCTGATGTGGCTCTGAATTGAAACACCATGAGAGCACTCTCTGGCCTAGCATGTGGGCTGAGACCAAAAGGGATCCCATGTTCAGAGACCTTGCCTGCAGATTGGCATGACTCTGGCCCCAGAACAGTAAGCCATATGTAAAAGGTCATTGACTTGACCAAGTCTGATGGCTGCCTGAGAAATTACACTCACGCCCAGACTTTCAGCGTAATCATACACTTACAAGCGACAATGTGACTTTCTACAAGTAAAGGTGCCCAAGAGCTGTAAAGCTTTGCAGATTATATTCTGTGTGCTCTTCCTATGGCAGCAAGAGATGATTTTTACAGGATAAGAGCTAACTGTACCACTATATTTCCTGCGTTTATTGGGTACGTGTTACAGTTATAAACACATGGCACTAGTTTTTAATGAGTCTCAAAAGCACCATTTTAAAGTAGAATAAATATTCTCTTTGTCTAGCATTAATTATAGCAAGAGGTTCTAGGAGTGGCTTCAATAACCATTTAGATCATTTTTAACAATATTATGACTAACACTGAAACAAGACTCCCTGTGTCTAGTATAAGCCAATAATAGTTCTCCATTTAAAACAGGGATTAAATGTGATTAATTTCCTCTTTTTTAATTTTATTTTTAATTTTACTTTAAAAAGTGTCATTGTAAAGACGCTTCAGAGTTCTAAGATGGAATTTTCAGTCTAACTTTCCTGAATCCGTGCCCATGCCAGTGTAATCAGGCACTGAGCATGCATTATGCAGTAAATCGTAATGGTCCCTCTGCTCATCTTTAGATCTATAAAATGCATTAATACACATAAAAAAAGATTCTGACTGATGCACTGCCCCTTCCCTTCCCCTGTTTTCTACCTTCCTTCCCGATATGAATACCAAACCATTCTTTGAAGTCCAGGACTATTAGGTTTGGTTTCTCAATCCCCATTTCTCTATCAATTAAAAAAAAACATTGGCATATACACAAACTAAATATGTCCTCATCAAATTTTAATTTGTATATATTTTATTATTTTCTTCATGTTTCTATTTCTTCTCATAGTGGTATTTCACAGGACACCTAAGCCAATCTAACAGCTCACTGTTGCCATAGGAATATGTGATAGTCCTTGCCTCTGGCTGCATGCTGGTTTACAGACCCCTGTGTTGATTTACTCTCACCTCAGTAAGAGAAAAGAGGACTAACTCAGAATTTAGAAACCAAAACTAATAGTAGAGAAAAAGCAGGACCCTGCCATTTGGCTGCAACAAGCTGTTACACCATTTCAGTCATGTTGTGAAACTTAACTTGCGTCAATCTTTTTCCCTGTCATTGACTCATCTTTTCCTTCTTTCATCTCATTTCATCACCTACCCTCCAGCCCTATTTCCCTCTCACCTCAGCTCCCCATCTTCAGTTTACATTCTGCCTCAATTTATCTACAGAGGGGAAGCAAATGTGAAAGAAGATCCACACCAATGGAGGCCTGAAACCCTCCACCTGAAAGCTGGTAGGACTTAGCCCACTGCAAGGGGCTTTGCAGATTTACAGCCACCCTGAACTCTGCAGGGTCTGTTCTGCACATGCACATGCACATGGAGCTTTGGCTGGATCAGTGTGTGCTGGCTGCCAGCTCTTCCTAGAGCCCTCCCTGCCTGTTGCAGCAAATTCCAGAGGCAGCTTAGGAGACGTGAGCAGCTAAGGACTTTGGTTTTGTCCAGTTTGAAAAAAGGAGGCTGAGGGGCAACCACATTGCTCTCTACAGCGTCCTGAGGAGGGGAAGTAGAGAGGGAGGTGTGGATCCATTGATAGGACACGTGTGAATGGTTCAAAGCTGTGCCAGGGGAGGTTCAGACTGGACATTAGGAAGCATTTCTATACCAAGAGGGCGATGAAACACTGGTACAGGCTTCCTAGACAGGTGGTTGATACTCCAAGCCTGTCAATATTCAAGAGGAATTTGGACAATACCCTTAAAACCATGCTTTAACTTCTGGTCAGCCCTAGAAGAGGTCAAGCAGTTGAACTTGGATTTATTGTAGGTCCATTTTGACAGAAATATTTCTATCCTATCCTAATACCAAGAGGGCGATGAAACACTGGTACAGGCTTCCTAGACAGGTGGTTGATACTCCAAGCCTGTCAATATTCAAGAGGAATTTGGACAATACCCTTAAAACCATGCTTTAACTTCTGGTCAGCCCTAGAAGAGGTCAAGCAGTTGAACTTGGATTTATTGTAGGTCCATTTTGACAGAAATATTTCTATCCTATCCTATCCTAATCCTATCCTATCCTATCCTATCCTATCCTATCCTATCCTATCCTATCCTATCCTATCCTATCCTATACCATCAGTCAGAAGTGGAGCTGCTTTAATCTCTGCAAAACCTGAAGTTTAAACATGTAAATACACATGCCTGTTCCTCGGTGGGGAGGCAAGCACTGCACCAGTACTGCAGCAGCAGCTTTTCCTTGGATAATCGCATTGGCATGATGCATTTACTTCTGGGAGTAGAAGTTTGCCCTTATAAAGACACTTCAAAGTCACAGGGGAGCACATGGGCTGGTTAAAAGGTACTGTTTGTACTTGATGGATTTGCTTTGCATTGCTACTGGCATGGCTCCAGTTGCAGCTTAGAGCTACATAAGCAAGACAACAGCAATTGACTTCATAACTACCCGGAGTCTCAATTTCCTGGTATTAATCAGTTGTGTCACAGCCTTAAAATAAAGTAAGTCTGTTTCATTACTGATTATAATTAAGGCATAAAGCTATATATTAGCATGAATCGTTGTTTTGCACTGCACTGTAAATAGCTACTTAAGCAGGACTTCAAGTCAACTTTGTGTAGTTAATAGACTGTGACAGACTTTGAGACAGTCCCATATATAGAGGGGAAATGAATTAGACAATTCATGAAAGGTGGCTTAACAGTAGGCAAGTTAAGGGTTTCTATGAAATGTAAACACCTAGAATGTGCAGTAGGCACTTCAGTGTTAAATATCTTGTCAGATTTTATCACAAAGCTATGAAACTCTGAAAAACATGCAACCGGAAATCTAACACAGCACCAATATTTTTACAGGTGCTTTTTCATTTTTGTAATGTATTACTGACTTTGAGTATTATTGCTCAACCTAGGGAATGTTAAGATAAGGCCTGAAAAATGAAGACTTCATGAATTTAAGCATGTCCTCAAGATCTCATTTCCCTATTTTCCTGTTTCAAAAGGTATGCTCTAAATTCAAAAACAGTTTAGATTAGAATACCATCATGGGCTGTGCATGTGTGTACCATTTTCCTCTATTAGTGGTAGCCAGATCTGAGTGAGTGCCAGGAGTCTTGATGTGATAATGCTGGTAAGGGTGTCTGGGTTAGGGGCTGTGCTACCACGGTCAGAACTGAGTCTTGCTTCTGCTTTCTCTGTGCCTTTCAAAGATGCCACGTCACACAGCATATTGAAAAGTGTCCTGTAATTAGTTGGCTGTGCTAGATAGTACAGAGTAGCAGCAGCTCATTTCTGCTGAACTGGACCTGAATACTGAGAAATGCTTGCTGGCTAAGGTTGTGTCCTCTATGCATTCCCACAGAGCAGTCATGAACCCTGGTCCTGACCAAGGCTCCTAAATGCCCCTGGAAATATTAATCTGTGTTGTTACATCTTAGCAGTACTTGAACATTGCACATGAGTGCAGCTGTTTAACAGGGATGGTGTGCCAACTTCATTCAGGGAATTTGCAATTGCTGCATTTTTGTGGAACAAAAATCTCCTTCATTTTAGAACTGAGTTGATGATGCCTATAAGGGCAGATCCCAGTTTTTGTACCATTCTCTCATAACTAGACCACCTTCTACTGAATCATGCACAGGTCCAGAGTCTGATGATGTGAATATATTCAAAGATAGTTATTTATAAACACCCTTAGTCCCTGAGAAGTGTTCCTGAAAAGTGCAATGGCCAGTGGTTCAACAGATAGGGAAGCAGTTTGTCCTGTGAGAACTGATGTAACATAGGCAGAAATGTATGACTGAATTTAGAAATACATTCAGTTAAACACACACTGAGAGAACTGTAGAAAAAAAAAGAAAGAAGGAATTAATCACTGTATAGCAGAAATAACTATATGAAAACCGGTAATTTTGAGCTAATTCACAAAAGGAAGAAAGAGAAAGCTGCATAGGAAGTTTACAGACTACACAATTTTGCATTCTTGATGTATAGACAATATTGATTTTAGGTGTCACAATTATAACAGTTCTCTAGCTATAAAAAATGCATGAACTACTTTGTCGGCTCTAGAAGTGTAGGCTCCTAGGTCAGGATAGCAAATATTTCACCTTCACAACATTCTCTATCAAATCTATTACCTTGTCTGTAGTTATAGTTCAACGTCAACAGTTCTGTTGTTATCCAATAAACATCCACTCTCAGATGCAAACAAGTAGGAGCCAATGAAAAGGATAAATATAGTCTTTCAGCTATAAATAGCAATACCAATAATAATCTGTTACTATTGCACCATATACATTTAATTTGCAGAGGACATAGTTTATACTATATTTCACTGGATACTTCAAAATAGAAAGTCTGCAAAAAGAGAACCTCAAAGGAGTACTACAGACAGTGCTAAAACTGATTCCTGCATAAACTATGTTTTCTGTCAAAACATTTTTGGTACAAGAAATAACTTTAAAAAGTTTTAAAAAATTTCTTTGTTAAAAAAGATACTATTCTGCCAAAAAAAGTCTTTCTGTAGGGAACACTGATAAGATGATGGTGAAAATGCTGAACACAGTTGTGCATTGAAAGAGATGAAACCAGTGAAACAAGCGATTTTCTCAGAATATCTCTGGATTATATCCAGAATAGAGCTGATACTTCAGATTAAGAATCGCTTAAATTTGAAGAATTGTCAAATCTGGGAAGAGCTGCCCTCTGTTTAATAAAAAAACCCCTTAAATATTTAGGCTGAAATGTGAAATATTTAGGCTGAAATATGAAATACCATGCTTTGAAAGATTACTTCTAGAGATAAAGGAACTTATCTTCATATTTGGTTTCAACTCATAAACAGTGGTATTTTCACTAGGGATATCTTAATTTCTGGCAATTCCTATGAATTCTTGAGCAATTAAGTTGCAGGCATGTTTCTGTCAACTATGAGGGATGACTCTGCAGGGTCTAAAGTGAGGAATAGCTACAAGAGCTGTTCACAAAAGCACTGAAGTATGCACTTATTTTAAGTGCCTAACTGGTCCCAAACACATACGCTTCCAGTTAAGCCTGTGTATAGATGCTCTGGTGAATTATTACTGAGAAAAACAGGTATCTACGGGCAGATGGCAAAGAAGAGCCAGCTTTGAATCAATGCTCTGGTATAACAGGTTGATAACCAGTGCCTTTTGACTCCTGCAAACATCAGGAAGTTGTTCTGGAACTGGGAGGATCCATGAGGGATGTGTATATGCCATGCCATAATTTTGGTTGGGTTTTAGTGGGTGCTCAGTGGCTGGCTGTCAGTGGCTGGCCAGCCATCTCACACTTCTGGCCAGCTCTTACCGGATTATGTGTTTTTATTCTTACACTGCAGCTGGTCATAAAGCTGACCTATACAAAAGTATAGCCTGTGATATTTATTTTATGAGAACATAGATACTTGAGCCAAACCAGACTACACCTAATAAGCCCCATTCTAATTTCCTTTACAATATTATCTGTAAGCTGATTGATGTCAAGTATTCTTTCAGTATGACAAAAAGATGTGCTTTCAACTGAACGCTGATATGATAACGTGATAAATATGAATGTGAACAATCAAATTAAATTCTCATGCTAAGTTTTTAAAAGGGTGAAGAATCCATGAGAAATAAGAGTACAGACTACATAACATGCTCTTTGGACCAGAGCCAGAAGAATCTTGCACATTTGCTGCAGACCTGATGTT